GAAAAAGATGTTTGAAGGTAAAGTCTTCACACTAATTTAGAAAAGTCCTATTTTTTTTTTAGCAGCCTTACTGTTTGTTTGAGTTCAGGGGTTCATTTTCCAAACCAAACATCACTCAGCTTCTTTACATTTAACGTTATTTTACTCGTTTTTGTTTGGTCGACAAAGCAGAGAAAGGCCTCCGTGTTCATCCAACATCATCCAGGATTTTAGATCATCTTACAGAAGAAAGGGAAATGATTTATCTCTTATTCTTAATGTTTGCTCTCAGGGATGTCAAGAAGAAGAAGCTGCAGGTACCTCTGGCCGAACATGAGCGTGGACTTGGTCTCGGCTTCATTGTAGATGGACGGCGAGCAGCAGATGATGATGGTGGTGCGACAGTTTCCCCCCAGAGAGTCCTGCAGGATGCGGGTCATCTTACTGTCTCTGTACGGGACGTGGGTTTTCTGAAACGTAACCGCAGCCTCGTTAATTAACACCATCTCACCAGGCTTTTCTTACATTCCTGTAAATATGAGTTAGCGTGTGACTGACTGTTCCCTCGGCCAGAGCTGAGATGACGTTTCCCAGCGCCGACAGAGATTTGTTGATGTTCTTGGCCTCGTCCAGCACGGCGCCCTCGGCTCCCGTCTTGCTGACCTGTTGAAACAGACTTTTTAATCCACCTTTTAACTCCTAATACTCAACATTTAACTCTATTTTTCCGGAACCCTCTCGCACCGACCTTCTCGCTGCCGGCCAGGTCGACCAGGTAGAGCTTCCCCGACAGCTTCTTCTCCGTCTCGATGTTTTCCTGCTTGATGTTGATGAGGAAGATGCTGTGGCTGCGAGAGCTGTGCTCATTCATGTCTGGAAAAAAACAAGTCCAGTTAGTCTGCAGCAGTTTCTGAGAGTTATTCTACTAATTAACGGGTTCTTGTAGCCTTCTGTGCCTCCATAGTTCAGTGAGAAATATTGTACTTTACACTGCTTTTACCTGACAGCTGTAATGACTAGCTTCTTTTCAGGGTTATTAGTTTAACTGTAAGTGATAAAAAGTGGGTGTATGACTCATTAAAATACATAAAAAATGTAGTTTGAATGATTTTCAGTTCATTTTTTTTAAGTTTGAGCTCATTTAAATGACTGTTTGAAATCCCTAAATGCAAAAATAGTAAATATTTCACTATAAAACAAAGACTGAAGCAAAATGAATGCAAGTATTATTAAAATTTTTCTTCTTTTTTCTTGCATAAATCTCTCAAAATTCATCTGCAGCTGTAATTACTAGCTTCTTTTACTATTAAAATTTTAAATATCAGTGACAAAAAGTGGGTTTATGACTCTTTTTAGAATGAAGTTACAGTTTGAGTTTAATTTAAGTGACATAAAAGTGGCGAAAAAGGCACAATTTAAAAAAAACAAAAACAAAGATTTTAACAATGTGATTCCACATTTTTGGACCAGATCAGTTTTTTCTCCTCACAAAATTCACTCTGTGACCCTTCAAAGAGGTCAAAACACCAACAGTAGGATGGAAACCACTGATAAATTTGATAAAAGTAGCTCCACCTCGAGCAGAAACAGCAGTAAAACACTGCACATACATTGAGTAATCAATATTAACAATCAAATAGTCATTTTTCTGCAGAACAATTAGCTTTACTTTTAATTTTAAGTACATTCTTGCAGTCCTAATTTTACTTGAGAGACAATGCTGCACAAAAAAAATACAAAAAATGCATTTAGAAGACAAAATCTCTGTTAAAATACAGATATAAAGACACGTACTAGTCACCGCCACGTGCCGATTGGCTTTTCCCTCATCAATGACGTCCATCACCTCCTCTGGACTGGACACGAAGCGCTCAGTGCAGCCCTGAAAGACAACATGACAGCGTTTAACTGCAGCCAGTGAACGGAAATAAAACATCACAGAATGGCCGTTAAAGGCTTAAACTGAAGAAGGCGCTCGTGTTTAACGTAAAAGCATAAATGATTGAATTTATTCATCCCCTTTATAATACAGGCCAATGATGCACACTTTTTATCTAGTAATGTTCTTGCTGAGCTGATCAGTGTTTGGTGATTCTTTTAAGCCTTTTTGCGCCTTCGTTGGGCACATACTACGATATATATAGTTTAGAATAATTATCACAAACGCTGTGATTGTGTTAAGTTAAAAAAAAACAAAAAACATAATAATAATAATAATAAAATAAACAAAGATCATATGAGTGTACCAACCTTAACGTAGGGAACCCTGTTTTTGTCTTCGTGCACAGCGAGGTTCGTCTTCGACACTTAAAACGGAACAAAAATCACCCAAATCAAAAATGACTCTTCATAAAACAAGTTCATTGTACAAACTGTGGCGCTTAAATTCACAGTAAATGTCGTAAACTTGATAAACTTACCGTCCAGCAGATCTCTGATCTTGTCCAAGTAGATTTCAAAATAAGAGACCTGCACAGAGAGAACAGAAAAATCCTTTTAATGTGATTTTTGTCGACACACAGAATCATTTTGTTGAGTTTAATAAAGCTTTAATTCAAAGCCTACAAAGCAAACATAAAATGACAAATTTGCATGTAGGAATGCTGAATTAAATAAGCATTAAATCTACTAAATTTTGTCACTTGTCATTAGTCAAAAACAGGAATAAAATTGCATTTTTTAAATTCATAATATGCAGGCAAACAGTGTCAGCAATACACATAAACGTTCTCAATCTTAAATTTTGTAATTTTGCAATTTTTAACCAATTTGGTGGCAGATTTACTCATTTCAGTTGTATTTCACATCAAAAAAACAACAAAATTACATGAAATTCATATTTTTCTTTCAGATTTTCCACTAAACTGTTGATAAAAACATCTCAGAAAGCAAAAGTTTGGTGAATAAATGAAGCTTCACTCCACATAACTGCATTAAAGTTGCTCAGGATTCATTCATTTTTTGCTTAATGAATTTTCATCATTGACTCCAGATGCTTTTTGCTTTTACCTTGATGTGAAACTCGAGGTTCTCGTCCATGGAGTAGATGTGGTCGAAGATGTCGTGGGCGATGCGAGGGATGATGCCCATCAGCTGGGGGTCGTGCAGTTTGCCCTGAACACCACAACAAACACGGAGCGCTTTAATGACAAACAGCACAAACCGGGAGAATCTAGGAGACGAACATCTGGGTTCAAAGGTGGAATTAAACCTTAATGTAAAGACAGTGAAGCAGAGCTCAGATGAGAGAATTAAAAAAGAGGCTTTAGGCTGGATTACTCTGCTCCCTGCACTCATTCACACACGATGAACGATCTCCTTCGGACACAGCTGCAAATAAAAACCCGTAAACTTCCCTCACAGCCTCGACATCTTGATCAAAAGCTCGGCTGCTCGAATCTTCACCGTCGTACAGGCCTGAGTGGATTTGGTGTAAGTCTGTTACACAACGCCCGCTGCTCTAATCCTCCGACCGCAGATGACAGTTGACAATAAAACACCCGGCGAGTCTGGAAGTCGGGGTCGATCGCTCGGTTCACGGTGAAGAAGTGGAGCCGCTGCTGACCATTTTTCCAGGTTTTATTTATTTATAGAGCTCCTGCTGGTGTTTCAGCGTCCTACTTTACCTCATTACTGTCTTTTGAAGTGTCCAAAAAAATCCAGTTTCAATGACTGTGCAACCTGGAATAACATGAAGATCAATGCACAGCTGGATTTATTTTTATCTTTAGGACACTTTAGGCTCGTATTTAACTTCCTGCTGTTCTTGTTTTTCGCTGCCTCGCTTGTTGTAATGTTTTTATTCATTTACTAACTTTGTCTTTTAATACAAAATTGTTATTTTTTTTTGCCTTCAATCTCCAGTTTTACAGCTCCAGTGTTTGAGTTATATTTTGTCTAGATTGTGGCAGTTTCATAACATGTAGACGTTCACATTAGGTACATATATGGACCAATGTGAACACATTATTGGGCCCTGAGAGAGACTTTAATATGACTTTAAAAGTCTAGTACAACCATTGAATACATTTACAAAGCTACTCTTGTTTGGTGTTGTGCAGCAAAAATTACTCTAACATTTCCTTTTTGCTTTCAGGAATTAAAATAAATACATAAATTAATCAATTAAATACTAATAATACAGTGCATAAAAAGACATAAATCCTTTTTTTTCTCATTATCTAGCATTAAATCAGACTAAACTGTTCCTGTTTTAGGTCCGTTAGGATTTCCAAAATTATTTCTATTTGCCAGAATGATGAGAAAGAGGATTTTTTATACGCTGTATGTAAACTTTTGGTTTCAACTGTATGTAATTAACTGAGCAGGGAATGAACGAGTGAAGCGTTTCATTTCCTTCAAGTGTGTGAAATAAAATCAAAAGACAAAGTCAAAAATTTCGGGCTCCATCTCACGCAGGATTTCAGAGGAACTTTCCGTCCGGAGGATAAAACTTGGGCAGTGCGGGTTGCTAGGCAACAGGAGTGGCGCTACGTGACATGACAACACAAGCAGGAAGTCGCCTTTGCATTCAGCGACAGGACGAAGCCTCTGAATTGAGACGAAGCTGGACGGCCTCCGCCTTTCCTGACAGGTGAAACAACCTCTTTAGCTGATGTGTGTTTTAAAGATTAAGCGATCTGTGGCTTATTAGTATTAAAAATAAAAACCAAATGAGAAGGGAGGAGGCGGCTGAGAGGGAGAAAACTACATGAATATTAATCACAAGCATGATTTGGGCTTTCCACCATTACATAAACACGATCGGTTGCGGTGTTTAGATTTTAAAAATGCACTCCGCACATAGAAAACAGTGTCTGTAGGTAACACTGTTGGTCACACGTGCATCAAGCTGAGCCTGCATGTGAGGCGTTTAGGGACCATTGTAGTGTCCGTAGATGAGCAGGTGTTCAGAAAGGGAGGAGTTTAGCTCATGCACAGTTTACAGGAGTGACATCAGCCTCAATCAAACAATACAATAGTAGGAAATGCAAATTAAGGCAGCTATTAATCAGCAAGCAAGATGATTCAATCTCCTGCTGTACCAAACAAACAAAAACGGTGGGAAGGTGTGATGAAATCATGAGCGACCAGTGAAAAAGTTAGTCGGAGATACTTCTAATGTCACACCAGAATCCTCAGATCTGCAGCCGGAATGATCACCCAGTCAGGTAGGACGCTATGTAACACTCAGGCCACACAGACGTTCCCTTTTAGCTGCTTTATTTTACTTGCACACCTTAAAATGTGCAGAAATATGAACTCAAAGCATAATTCAGAGCCACTAATCGCACTGCAAGTTACTCAATTCTCCATCAGTGCTGGTTAGGAAACATCTGAGCAAGGTTTTGTTGTCGTTTTGATTTCCAGATTTTACTAACATTTAGTGCATTTTTGCCCGTTAATTTATACAAACTGGTTCCTTTAGTTCGATCAGGATGGCAGGATTTAGCCTCACCTCCATGGTGTGTGTCTTCCCAGAGGACGTCTGTCCGTAGGCGAAGATGGTCCCGTTGTAGCCGCCCAGCACATCTGGATTAAACAGAGAAAACACATATTTGATCCTCTAGCAGCTCGTGACAAAATCACACAGGGCTGCAGATTTCTGTAATTTTCATGTAAAACCTCCGGGAAGAAAAAAACCTTAATTTCTCTGCAGATATAATAAATAAATCTGAACAAGCTGGTGCATTTTTTATAATTTATGGAACTGGTGTCGTTAATAAACGTGGCTTCCAGTCATCAGAGTCTTTGTTGTGTAAAAAAAAAAACAGAGCAGATTAAGTGTGTGTGCAGGTATCTGACAGATTAGAGTTACATAAGAATAATGCTTCAACGTGTTCCCGCTCACCTTTGACGATCTGTTTGGCACACTGGTCGTACACTTGTTCCTGCGACGTGTTGGGAGGCAGCACTCGGTCGAACACAAACGGTTTTCCCTGTTTTGGACAAACACAAAAAATCAGCCACAGATTTCAGATTTGTCAGGTTTACTTTAGGTTTTCTTTTGCAGCAGCTTGCAGCGCATCGTTACGGCTCATCGTCGGCCCTCATGACCGATTTACATGAAAACGAAAGTGACGTAACTCCACCTGATTCCAGCAACGTTTTATTATTTCAAGATTTTTCACTGCAGAAAATCAGATTTGGAATGAGATTTGAATATATTTAAAGACTCGTTCTGATGCAGATCTTTTGTATTTTGCAAGTTCCTTCTCTGTTTTATGAAGATTTACTGAAAAAATCTGAGGCTTGTGTTGGGAAAATCTGGTTATCACTCATCTAAATCATCAATGATTGACATTAGATAGAAAATAGACAACAGCTGGACAGCAGAAAGGGGAAAAAATGGCGTTTTTAAAGATTGATGTGTAAACTGAATGCTTTAATATGAGATGTGCATTATTAGTATTGACTATCTGGCTCTTTAAGATCAGTTTTTAAAATATTTAACATCAGTAAAATACAATATAACACACATATACGTAGCTTACAAGAAAAGAAAAAGCTGTTTTTTGTCGATGTTTTCACCGAAGAATGAAAATAATTCAATACTGCGCTAAAGGACTGGTTCAGATGCAGAACTTTTTTGTGTTTTGGAAGTTTCCTCGTTGTTTTATTAAGATTAACGGAAAAAATCTAAGGCTTGCTTTGTGAAAATGGAAACAAAAAAGGATTATCGATCATCTAAATCATCACTGATCGACATCACATACAAAATACGAGCTCCTGACACAAAAAAGTGGATTAAATCTGCTTATTAAAGGCAGTTTTGATCGTTTATATGCGAAAATTGAGTGCATTAATGTGTGTATCTCCTGCACACAAACAGCAGTGGTTTCTATTTTAACATCAGTCATACAGATTTAAAATACGACTGAACGCTTGTGAGCCCAAAATAGCAGCATCCGCCTAGATCTGTGCCACAGTGAGGAAATACTGATCAAAACCACGGACACGAAGCCGGTTTTTTGGCAGCGCTGAGCTGTAAACGCTCCGGTAACTTCCCGGCTCCTCCACTCTGACCATCCATCACTCCTGCCGCCCTTGTCCGACTCCTCCTGACTCCTTGTCTCAGGGGTAAAAGCCTCACTCCTGCAGAAACCAGCCTCTCAGCACTTGGAGGCAGCAAACAGCAGCACTCTGACTGAGTCCCAGCCCCGAAATAAAGCAGAGAAACCCCTGACACAAACAGTATCGGCTCGTGTGCATCCTCGGTAAATGTACCTCTGTGCTTTTGATTGATGCTGCCAGGAGGTGATGTGCAGTTTGTCTTGACAGGAGCGTTTCTGGGTGATAATGCAGCCGCATGAATAATGCAGAGCTGCTGACGGCGACAAGGATGAAGGATCCTCATCTTCACACTTGGGAAAAGTTCACTCCTCGCTTGTTTTTCTAACTATGTGGCAGATTTTTTTTTGCATCGTGTCAACAGATGACTGACGTGACTTTTCTTTTTTTGTGCTTTGGAGATAATAAGTAAGGTAGGTTCAAGGACAGGTGGGAAAATAAAACATGTGGGATTTATCAGAAAACCTGAGCATGATGCTGCTCTTTTTAATGCACTTGTCAATTTTGAAATTCTGGAATATTTCCCTCACATCTCTAGAAAATACACATTTAGGTGTTGGTCTACTTCGTCTGTTGGCATTTGAGCAAATTAATGCATATTTATTTACATAATTTCCTCATTTGCATATGTAAACATGAAATTCCAGAAAACTTAAACGACAGAAAATAAATGTCTTCACGTAGATTATTTAATTCAGGAAGTTTCACTGTGATTTCTATACGTTTTAATTTTTACTGTTTAATAGAAGTTTTGATTAAAGATTTTACAACAGGAAACTTTACAGTAATTTTCTCACAAATAGGTTTTTCTTTCATCAGAAATATTGGAAACTTTCGACTTTTATAATCTCAAGGATTCTACAGAAATCATACATTAGTCACAGCCTGATTTATAGCATATTTTATTCCTAAAATCAAAATTATGATTTGATTTAATGGGTCATAAACACAGATATTTAAATTTCCTTGTGCAAAAACCTTTGATTCTAGCGTTCTAACAAAATAAAACAAGAATGTATCGCTGGTTATATTAAATATTCATATTTCAGCTGTGGAAACTGATGTAAAGGAGGACATTTTTAGATATACATAATACCTTATTTGCATTTTAACACACAACAAAAAATGACCGTCTTACTGTAAGAAATTAAGTGGTTGAATTTGTAAACATTTTACAAAACAAACTCGTTGCAAATTAATCCAAATTTATAGATTTAATAACAGCAACAGAATGCAGTTTTTCTGTGTACATTTTGAACACGTTGAATTAAAAAGCAGAATATAAACAGAGGAGAGTTTGCGTCACCTCTACATGTCAGGTGGTTGAGGTCAAAGAGGAGTTCTGCCAAATTAAAACAATTTTTAAAATAAATTACCGTCAATTTTGGCCTCAAAGTGTGATCTGGAATACCAAGGAGTAGAAAACGAACACTAGACGAGCACAAGAGTGGCGTAAAAATAACAAAAATGCGAGAAAAACACAGTATTGATGTGGCTTCTTCTGAGCTCCTGTTGCCTAATGAATCAGCAGATCCATAACGGTGCGTCAGCATCAGCAATGTTTGACCTCTGACCTCAGAGTTATTACCGGCGGAAAGTCTCTCCGGATCAATTTCAACACAGCGGAAAACATTTAAAGACATTTTGTGACAGTGTTGAGATTACATTTTGTCAATTAAATGCATCTTAAAATTGTGTTTTTAAACCATTTGGTCCCCAAATATGTTGACTTCAGCAACTGGAGTTTCATTAAACACATGGAATTAAAGTTAGTTTACTACAGCTGTCTCCTGATGAGATTAAAAATGCATTTTAAACCCAGAAAATGAAATATTGATTGTGTTTAATGGTGTCATGCTGTACCACTACATGCAGCTATTTTTAGCAGGAATCGGGCTGCCTTTGTTTTGCGGAGCTTTGACATGTTCTGATATAAAATGTGCATATTTAAGACTTTGTTTGCACCAATTATTATGAATATTGCAGCAGCTTTTAAACCAAAGACAGAATATTCCTGCAAATACTATCCCTGTCTGACTCCATGGTGCATAGTTTCTCTCCTATATATCATCAGAGTCTACATATTTGTGATATTATGGTAAATAAAGTTATCATAGTGCTGTAGCATCAGTGCTGTCAGACTACTGCGCACTTGGCATCCTGCCTGCACAGCTTTAGGTGACTTTCTTGCTTTAAAACGCTGCAGTGTTTGTATTTTTAGCTCCACACAGACGTTAAACAAGAAGCGTCAACGTGACAACAGAGACTTGCCGTGATGAGCACCGTGTCGTCCTCCTTGAATTTGGGGATGTATTTGTCTCCCCGGTTGATCTCGGCCTCGTTCAGCGGCCTGAAGCGACACATCACCCTCACCCCGCACTCCGCCGCATCCACCATGGCTGCTGGCTCTGTTTACACCGCCTCCTCCGGAGAAATGCGGCCGCGGACGAATAAACAAACAACCGGCTGCGGGGGGAAATTGACGGTCTCAGGCGCCCACAGCGAGGCTCCGGCGGGGCTGGTCGTCCCGGGAAGAGTCGGAGCAAAGAATGTATGACACGATCAAATGTTTAGATCATCACCGGCGACCAAAGTGTTAAACCGCTCCCGCTGTCCTCACCGACACAAAGTTCATCCGATGCGCAACGCGTCCTTCATCGGTCTCCGGGTTCCCTCAGCTGCGCCATGGCCCGAACACCGCAGCGCTGCGTCCCGGTGCGGAGCGTCGGTGTGCGGGGCGGGGAGCCTCCCTCTGCGGCGGGGACGACCGTGCACAGCGTGCGGGCTGTCGGGGTGTCAGCGGCGGGGGCTGTCGGTGGCTGCTGGCCGGGCTGCGGAGGGACGGTGTGGGGAGGATGCGCAGAGACAACCGCAGCGTCCGGACTAGCAATGAGGGCGCGCTCCCTCGCGGTGCCGCGCCGCGTGCCCGAGACCTGCATCAGCACCATCATCATCATCGCTGAGCTGCTCACGTGGACGCGCACGAACGAAACCTCTAATATATGAGGATTTAAAAAAAAATGTAATTCTCCCTTTGTTCCTTTAGTGACCAAAAAAAACTTTTTTAACTATTATATCTTAGTGGTATTTTTGTAAACTATATCTTTGAAGAAGTTTTTAACTGTTATATCTTATTGTTAATTACATATATTGTATTCTATTTTTAATATGTATATATATGTATGACCTATTATATCTTCGTTTTTAAATATTTTATAGTTTTAGGTTCTGACTAACAAATGTTAGACGTTTTTCTCTATTACATCTTAGTAGGTTCAATAATACATTACAGTCGGATATTGAATATTATTGAGTAATATTCCTAATAAAAAAAAGACAGTGACACATTACCATCACACTAAACAATTTTTCATGCCAGTGAACAGTTCAAAATTGTAAATCACGTCCACACCAATAATCTGTATTTTTACAAATAGTAATTCTTTCCTTTGGAGTGTTTGACCATAAAACTGCTTTGTTTGGCTGTATTTACTTCTGCAAAAACTGTCATTATTTTATAAGTATTTGCTTAATTAAGCCAAAGTGGTTTCCAATAGACAAATAAGATTACATATTTAGCGAGCAAGTTTAAATATCCAGGTTAAGGAACTGCAGCATTATTTAAATATAAATGTACCTGACGATAAATAACAAATGTAAGACTGTGCAATATTATTAAAGGTGCAAATTTTCTTGACTAATTTAAATATTAAGGTGAAGACAATATTTAATATAATACATGCCTGCCTCAAAGAAAAATAAGTTAGAATCTACAACCTTATATCAGTTTACCAATCCAATTTAAATATTGATACGAGTCCTTTAGTGATTACAGAATTTATGTCATTACCGAGAGTCAAAGAAATCACATTTTTATTGTCACTATCTGTAATTATCTCTGAAACTTTAACATTTACTGCTGTCTCACCACATAATTTAATTAATATCAGCCACATTTGAACACGTTTCCTGAGCAAAGGTCAAAGGTGAAAATAAAAATGGCGGAACTAGTCCGTTCGTTGGACGTAATTTATATATATTTTTAAAGTAAAACATTAAAATGTACAAAACACGATTCATAAAGCTGGAAACTGACACATTACCTGATAAATTAGCGCTTTTTAGAGGAACCATTGTCTGTAATGGCGTTCTTCGTTTGTGCTAAAGCTATAGCGGCTAGCACTTAGCTTGACCCAGCGAGGAGCTTTTATAGATATTTTGCTTTTTGGGGAGAAATTTCCGACTTGAAAAGACGCAAACCAACTGTTTGCCCCTGTGTCGCATTAAACAGTCGGCAGAAAGTCATTTCTATTTTTTAAAGAGGTGTTTGTGTTGTGCATCACAGGCTAGGCTAACGTACGTACGCTAGCTAGCGTTAGCACACGAGCTACAAGAAATGCCGCTTTTAGCGGAAGTTCAAACTGAAGGTAAAATCTCACCACAGCGTCCATTTAGTAGCTGCTCCGGAGCTTTTCAGCCTGTCATATGGTATTCACCCTCAGCTGGGGCTCGCTAATTAAGAGCATTACCCTTAAACTGAAGTTAGCATGGGCTGCTAGCCGTGTGAGGGCCTCAAAAATAGATCGCGTGGTGAGTGAGAGCTCCGGAAAAGCTGATAAACGGACCAAATGGGGACACTTTTTTTTTTTTTTTTTTTTTTTAAGCAATAAAAATGTTTCTTTTTTAATATAAGTAAATAGCGATCATTTATATACCAAAAAAAATATATAGACAATAAATGCAGAATGAAAAAAATATTTACAAAATATTGTGTTCATTACATTTTAAGAGTTAAATTCATTATTTTTTTCATGTTATTAAACGCAACACACGTTATTTGTCTGTTTATAAATCTACCGAGTGATGTATGTTAATTAAATATCTATTTGCCTGCTTTTATTCCATATTATCAACCATTATTTTAACTTTTTATTATTTTATTAACTGTATTTTTAGCAGTAAACGTGTGCTCTGCTGTTCCTCCACTAGAGGGCAGTGTGCAACAAGAAACACTCATGTTTTTGTTCCACACTGGGCTGAAGTTTCAATAAATCTACTTTTTAAAACTGAAAATACACCTAATACGGAGGACACAAAGAAAGATAATCAATAAAGAACACGTTGCAAACCGGGTTATTCAAGTAAGAGTGACCATGTTTTTAATATCTTAAACATCTGTGCAACATTATTCAAAATGTTACATCACTGCATGACCTGTAATGTTTCACAATATTTACAAAAAAATGCTGCTTACATCAAACCATTAAAAAAAAAAAAGTCCAAACAATCTCAAAATAATGGACAAACTATCCCTAGCCCACATTAATGCAAAAAAAAAAGAAAAAGAAAAAGAAAACGAGCAATCAAGTGCACATCATACTTCACGCAAGTCTATTTTTTGTAAAGTATATATTAGTGAGAAAATATATACTTAATTACAAGTTGAAGAAATAAAATACTGACAACGAAAAGGGTGGAGGAGGGGATTCAAAGAGCAGAACACTGGAAAAAAAAATTTAAAAAAATAAATCACACTCACACCTCACACACACAATCACAGGCAGAAAGAGGGGAGGAAAAAAAAATAGACTGCACAGACCACCTCTTGACCACAAACAACATGAAACTGATAGAACAGATCCATAACACATGGGTTCCCAACACGAGACCGGGTTCCTGCATGTCATTGCACAAAAAACTGGAGGAGGGGCGGGAAAAGAGGCAGAATGAACTTTACCGAAAGAGCTCATGTGTTCTCCAACTATCACATTTTTTGTGTTAAAAAAAACAAACAAACTGCTTTTCTGTGCCACAGTTTACAGTAAAACAAACAAAATAAATCCACTCCTGAGGTTCTCAAAAGTGGGCGCGATGAAAAAAAGCGGGACATTCGGAAGCACATTTGAGCAAACGGTGAAATATGCGTCGAAAATGTCCTCCATCTTTTCCCAGCGTGCACACGACACCAAAGGCAGTGAGCGATCTCAACGGAACATACAGTACAACTTAAGGTTCTTTCAACGCACGGACATGAGAATTTGACTCGGAGGCTTCGTGTTTTGAGATATCTGCGAGGTTTGCGTGCACATCCGAAAGCCGTGGATATGTTTTAAAAATAGTGTTTCGCTGTCTGACAATCTCGTTTATTTAGTGTATTATTTGGTTTTAAGGTTATTTGCACGTCAGAAGAAAACAAAAAAACATTTGTAACGGTTGAGTTTCTCGCTAAAGAGTGAAAAGTTCAAGTAAATGGCATTTTTTTTTTAGTAAACGTTTTCAGGGGGGAGTTTGGAGTTTCAGGGTGAGATATTTTTTGTTAAATCAAAAACGAAGCTGTCGGTTTTGTCTGTAAAGCTACGAATGAATGACTACCTTCACTGCTCCGAGGTTAGAGCATCTGAACAAACAAAAAAAAGATTATTTGTGCACATCAAAAAGGAGAAAACAGGCAGCAAATTACAGTCCAAGACGCAGGAAAGCAAAAAAAAAAAAAGGTTCAAACAATCAGAGATGCAGTGTTTCTAAGCAGTTGATCTTTGCCATCGATTGGTATATTGCACTTGATAATTCTGTAGTGATTTCAGGTTGCTGTTGGTTGGTTTTGATCTGGAGGAGCAGCCGTCGTGTTGATCCAGAGTTCCCAATACTGTCAGACTGATCAAGTGATGACTCCGCTTCAAACTTTTTCAGAGTTTGTAGTGTTTTAAAACAAAAAGAAACTGCATGTATCACCAACACAAGACGCCGTCTGCCTTCTCAGACGTGCATATTCATAAATAGCATTTCTTTACTTACTTAAGAAATCCATGACACAATCTGTAACAAAAAGCCTCACTGTAAAAAAAAAAAAAAAGAACTGTTTTCTGTAATGCTCACTTCTTAAATAAAAGGGAATATGACCTTTGTAATGGACTCTGAATACATGATCTATTCACTTGTTAAAAAAAAAACAAAAAAAGAAAACATACATATACACATATAAGGCTTGAGTTCTCAACTCTTGGTAGTATTATTGCCATCTAGCATATTTGTAAAGCTTAAAATAAATATGGAGTACTGTACATAAATAATTTACATCAATAAGCAGAACAAAAATAAATCAGAAATAAAAACACAAGGCCCCTAAATGTAAGAAATGCTTCCACCGCTCTTGAGTTAGTGTTGCTTTTGATAACCTAGAGGTTGGTTACTCTACCTAAAGCTATAGTTGTGGCAAAAAAAAACAAAAACGGCTACAGTCGTGGAAAAAGAAATTAAAAAAAAAAAAAGTCACTGTACAAACAAGCACGAGAATCACGACGGAAAGTCATCTGTGAGCCGAAGGAAAAATCCACCCAAGGACCGGTTGGTGTTTTCGTGTTCTCTTCCCCCTGAAGCCAAGTTAAATTACAGCCACG